GTGCCAGGAGTACGATTTAGTGTCACTGAAGACGACTGCTGTGGTCTGGATGTGGTTTGAGGAATTCTCCTATAGGCCCATATGTTGGAAATGTGGTCCTCAGTGTCTGGGCCAGGCCACAACAGGTCAAGTTTGGCCTTTGGTAGTTGTTCTTAGACTTTGTCATTTAAAAACTTTGTATGGGTACGCCGGGCGGTGGTGGCGCACGCCTTTAATCCCAGCACTCGGGAGGCAGAGCCAGGCGGATCGCTGTGAGTTCGAGGCCAGCCTGGGCTACCAAGTGAGCTCCAGGAAAGGCGCAAAACTACACAGAGAAACCCTGTCTCGAAAAACCAAAAAAAAAAAAAAAACTTTGTATGGGCACTGAAACTGGAATGTGTCAAATGCCTTTCTTCTTACATTGATGTAACTATGTATTTCTTCTGTTAATTTGGTGGATTGCACTGGTAGATTTCCAAATCCTAGTGTTACTATGCATAATTATTTTCATATGTTGCAAAGTTCTATTAATCAGTGTCCTCTGGTATAAAATGACTCAGTCAAGCAAGTTAATATAGCCACTGCCTCATATACTTACCAATTTTGTGATGAGATTGTTCACTACAAGTCAATGGTTTTTAAGAATATGAAATTGTGAATTCTAATGATGCTATAAGACACATTATTAGCAGGCATTCCTCCTGTCTAGCGAAATTTTATACCCCTTTAACCAGAATCCCCACCCCCGCACACACACACAAACTTCACCCTTCCATTCTCTGCCTCTTTGTGTTCAACTTTTTAAGATCTCACATTTGAGTGAGTTTGTGCAGTATTTATCCTTCGGTGCCTGCTTTGTTTCACTTTACACAGTGTCTTGCAGGGTCATCCCTATTGGACCGAATGACATGGGTTTTTTTTTTTATGGCAGATTAGTATTCCATTGTGCATACATACAATACTTTTCTAATTAATCCCTGGGTTACTGGACACTTGATTTCACGGCCTGTGAATGGCGCTGCAGTGAATATGGGGGTGCAGATGTCATTTTCTTTAGATCTATGCCCAAGAGTTGAATTGCCAGGTCCTATAGTGGTTCTGTTTTTGATTTTTGCAAGAATTTCCATACTGTTTTTCAGAATAGTAGAATATTTACAGTTTTGCCAGTTGTGTCCAGAATTCATGTTTTTTGATATTAGCCCACATCAAAGGTTTGGTTTATAGATATTTTCTCCTGTCTGCTAATTATTTCCTTTGTTGAGTAGACTCTTTTTAGTTTGATTTAGTCCTGTTATATTTGCTTTTATTTCCTGGGCTTTGGGGATCATTAAAAAAAAAAAATGCCCAAACCAATGCCACAAAGTTTTTCCTCTAGTGATTTTAGTTTCAGATCTTATATTTAAATCTTCCATCCATTATTTTGTGTGTATATATATACACACACACACACACACACACACAATGGTATAAAATAAGAACCCAGCGTTACTCTTCAGCACGCAGATGCTTAGTTTTCCAGACACCTGCTCACCGAGGGAACCATCTTTTCGATGTGGTCAGTTTCCTGTCGCCAGTATAGGACCAGTTCTTTTTAGTCTGCTGTCATTTTTAAGTGATACTGTTTACATTTCATGTAAATACACGCCTTTATGGAGATGTCAGGGCTCAAGTTTGTCATTCCACCTTTAGTTTCTGTTTCTTTTATCTGACTTTTAGGGTTTCCCCTTGCCTTCCTGAGAGTTATTAAGCTTTTTTAAAAATTCCATTTTGATTTGTTAATAATTCATGACATCATTTTATCAGTTTCAAGGGGAGGTAGAAAACTTGCCTTCCTTTACCCTGCACCAATATACTATTCATACCAGACAGTGCAATAATTTTTACTTTAATCATCAGAAATAATTTTAGAAACAAGAGAACAGGAGCCTATAGTATTTACCCTCATTTAGACGTGCTCTTTTCCAAAACCATGATTATCAGCACATATCATAGAGTCCAGTGGCATTCCCTATGGTGAGTCCATAGGGAATGTGTATATGTATGTTCATCGTGTCCATCAGCCCTTCTTTCCACTTAGCACATTTACCTGCTGTGTTGGGTACCCTCTCCCACCACTGTGGCAGCTGCTCCCCAGCTGTGCTCCTGGAGTGGAGCCCCTGGCAGCAGTTTCTTGGTTTTCCCTCATCCTGGGGTTCCATCTTCTCCTTTACTCCTGAATGCCCGCTTTCCTGGCCCCGCGGTTCTTCTCTGGCAGCATTTTCCTCCTCGGCCCTGCCTGGCTCCAGGCCCTGCCTGCCCGGCTGTAGCCCCTGATGGTTGGACCATTGTCTGCTCATCTCTGAGGTCCCATCGTCTTAGACCACTGGCTTTGCTGCATACCCTGCTCCATCATTGGCATTTGACTTCCACTGTGCCCCTTCTTTATATCGTTCATTAATTTAGTAAGAATTGTGTTTCTCTGCTCAGCCAATGTCTTCTCATTGGGCTAAAGAGATGGCTCAGTAGGTAAGAGTGCTGTGCAGACGTGAGGACCTGAGTTTGGATTTCAGCGCCGACATAAGCTGGGTGCGGCCCCATGCTTCCTGCAAACCTAGCCCTGAGGGAGGTGGATCTCGGGGGCTTGCTGGCCACCTGACCAGCTAAAGAACACAAGTTCCAGAGACCCTGCCTCAAAGGAACAAGGCAGAGAGAGAGAGAGAACGACACCAGATGGCCTCCATATGCACGCACACACATACACACATACACCACCACCACCACACAAAGAATATTCCTAGTTGTTCTAAGGAGCACTGTGACGATGGCTGACTCATAAATGTCAGCTAATATTAATGTCTCTGTCATCTTGGGATTGGCATCGGCTGATTACCCTTCATCCACTTTGAAATCTCCACAGGTCTTGGCACGACAGGTGATTTCTGTTGAAACCTGAACATTTGGTGTTAAGGGCTAAGGCTCTGGCCCTTGGCCTGCCTTTTCAGCTAGTTTCTCCTGACTGTGCCCTGGTGGGAAGCAAAAGGGTGGAGGTGCAGGTTTTTCCCGGGCTTCTGCAGTCATCCAGGCATGGAGAAACTCCTTACTGTCCTTTGATTATCCCCCTGGCTTTGCAGAACAGCATGGCTCCTTCCTGCTCCCCACAGCCTGCCCCTAACACCATGAGCCAGGCCTTGTTGTCCCAGGGGTTTGAATGCTTCTGTTTAGCCTGATGAGGGCAGGAGGTGCTCACAGCTGGGCCCTGCTTTGAGGAGAGTTTGGCTGGACTAGGAGATGCCGCTTCAGGGTGTAGCCACATTTCCTGCCTCCTGCTGACCCTTTGACCGTGAGAGCAGACCTCTACAGTGCTCTAGCTTGATGCTTGTCCGTCTCCAAGTCTGAGAGACCCTGACAGTCTCACTTGCTCTACAGACAGCTCTTCACTCCCAGAGAGCTTTTGTGCCACCCCCACCCCTGTGTGTGTGTGTGTGTGTGTGTGTGTGTGTGTGTGTGTGTGTGTGTGTGTGTGTGTCTATGTCTGTGTCT